CGCTGCCTTCATGTAAATGAAGCTTTAGATGCAGTTAAACTGTGATCCGTGCGCTCCAGAAAGAAGTGGGTTGATTTCGGGTTCTGGAAAGCTGAGTAGAGAGAGACACTCTCAGACGTCAGTGCTCGCGCCGGCATTGAGGTGAAAGGGATGATTTCTACTGAATTGGGTTTCAGCGGCATCTCAGGTGATCTGAGATGATTCACCAAAATTCTGGTGGGTGCCCGGGCGTCTGGGGAGAGGGCAAGCGTCTTAGCCTGGCACCCCACCTAGTGGCCGGTGGAAGGGATTGGAAAGGCTCAAGAGTTGGCAGGAATCAAAAAAAAAAAAAAAAGAAAAGAAAAGAAAAGAGGAGCTGGAGCGATAGCACAGCGGGGAGGGCGTTTGCCTTGCATGCGGCCGACCCGGGTTCGATTCCCAGCATCCCATAGGGTCCCCTGAGCACCGCCAAGAGTAACTCCTGAGTGCAGAGCCAGGAGTAACCCCTGTGCATCGCCGGGTGGGACCCAAAAAACAAAACAAAACAAAACGAAAGAGTTGGCAGGAATCTACTAGAAGATCAAGCCACAGCTCTCTGTGTTCCTGCTGTCAAAAGCTGGCAGGGCTTTTGGAGAGATGTGCCTCACATACAAACGAGGAAAAGCCAACCGCAGAACTATATATAATTCCGATATCTGTAACGAGAAAGTTAAAATTGTGCATATATATGCCATGATGCATATTTCCATCTTTCATATATTCACATAGGGGGGATAAAAGGATGAGAAAGTATATTTGGGGGCCGGAGGATATTTTAGGGGGCTGGAGCATAAACATATGTTTTGCGTGTGGTGCATGCTCTGAACCCTGGCACCACATGGTCCCCTGAGCATCACTGGGTGTGCTGCACCAAAGAAAACCTTTTTTTTTTGGGGGGGGGTCACACCCAGCAATGCTCAGAGGTTACTCCTGGCTTTGCACTCAGGAATTACTCCTGGTGGTGCTTGGAGGACCATACGAGATGCCGGGGATCGAACCCGGGTCGGCCGCGTGCAAGGCAAACGCCCTACCCGCTGTGCTATCGCTCCGGCCCCCCACCAAAGAAAATCTTTAGCCACTGTTGCTTCTTTTGTACCCGGGAGGATGTCTACCTTGCACCCTGTAGCTTATTCCTGGTTCTGTGCTCAGGCAGTGCTCAGGGAACCACTGAGAGTGCCAGGGATCAAACCCAGGTCAGCTGTGGGCAAAGCAAGAGCCCTCCCTTCCCTACCATTCTGCTGCTTTAATTCCTGTGCTTCTTTCTTGACAGAAGTTTGTTGGACACGCCTGTCCTTGTCAAGCCTTCTTTCTCACGCTGGTTCCTATAGAATGTTCAAAACCAGGGAGATTTAACCACTCACTCCGCAAATGCATCTTCCGGGCTTGGCTTTAGTCTTTGTCTTTATTTGTGACTTCCCGCACTATCACACAGATACGTACGCTTTTGCAAAATGTGTGTGTGCATATGTGTGTCTGTGTGTGTCTCTGCTCATGTGTGCTCAAATATAGTCATTGTATTCCCCAATCTTTTACATTTTGCTCTTTCTTAACCAGTCTTGCTTATCACCGATTATAAATTCTCAAGCTTCGAGGCCACAGAGACAGGACAGCTTGCATGTGGCCAACCCGGGTTCAACCCCTGGTAACTCATATGGTCGCCCAAGCACCACCGGGAATAGTTCCTGAGTGCAGAGCCAGAAGTAAGCTTTGAGCACTGCCAGATGTGGCCCCCAAACCAAAAAATAATAAATAAATTCTGGGGGCTGGAGCGAGAGCACAGTGGGTAGGATGTTTGCCTTGCACGCGGCCAACCTGGGTTCGATTCCCAGCATCCCATATGGTCCCCCGAGCACCACCAGGAGTAATTCCTGAGTGCCTGAGCCAGGAGTAACCCCTGAGCATCGCCAGGTGGGACCCAAAAAGCAAACTAAATAAATAAATAAGTTCTGGAGTTTTAGTCACCTTGTCTTGCTTTTAAGTTATTAATCCAGCTGGAGCAATAGCACAGCGGGGAGGGCGCTTGCCTTGCACGCGGCCGACCTGGGTTTGATTCCCAACATCCCATATGGTCCCCTGAGCATCGCCAGGAGTAATTCCTGAGTGCAAAGACAGGAGGAACCCCTGTGCATTGCCGGGTGTGACCCAAAAAGAAAAAAAAATCATTAATCCAGCTAGACTGACTGTTCAAAATTGGAAACCTCTGTATTGCCTGATGTTGCTGAGCAGATATTTGATTCATTAACTTTAAAATTCTAGTAAAGGAGGGGCCGGAGAGGTAGCACAGTGGTTAGGGCACTTACTTTGCACATAGTCAATCCGGGTTCGATCCCTGACATTCCTTATGGTTCCCCGGGCACCACCAGGAGTGATCCCTGAGTGCAGAGCTAGGACAGCCCTGAGCACCACCAGGTGTGGCCCCCAAACTAAAAAAGCAAGTTAAATAAGCACAGATTCTAGAAAAGAAAAGACGAAGAAAGAGAAGGCATTCTTAACCCCCCACGGGTGAGACCCATTCTCATCCTGGAGACAGAATCAGGGCCTGAGGTGAAGAACAGACAAGGGGGGGATGAGATTGAGCTCCCAGAGCAGTCTCCATGGCAACGGGAGTCTGAGCGTCACTATGGAGATGCGGGACAGGGTGACTCCCCTGGCGAGGCTCCTGCAAACAGTAAAGGTACAACACTGATGCGGCAGTGTTACGGTGGCGGCACTGTGTAACACAGTGGCGGCAGCACTGGCTCGTCCCAGGCAGGCTCTGCCTTGCTCTGACCAACTCCATCCCAGGGAGGTCCCAGGCAATGCCAGGTTCAAAGGCAGCACAAGTGTTCATGCGCGCAACCTGCCAGGGGGCCAGGAATCAATCCTGAGCACTGTTGGGTGCCCCCCTAAAAATGAGTTGGGGTACATCAGGAAGTCCAGTGTCTGTTGAATGAATAAATGAGCTTGCAGGGACCTCTGTAAAGAAAGGACCCAATGGGGCTGGAGCAATAGCACGGCGGGTAGGGCGTTTGCCTTGCACGCGGCCGACCTGGGTTCGATTCCCAGCATCCCATAGGGTCCCCTGAGCACCGCCAGGAGTAATTCCTGAGTGCATGAGCCAGGAGTAACCCCTGTGCATCACCGGGTGTGACCCAAAAAGCAAAATAATAAAAAAGAAAGAAAGGACCCAACGGGCCAAACAGCTAGTCCAGCGCGTAGGACATTTGCCTTGCACTTGGCCAACCCAAGTTTGAACCCCGGCATCCCCAGGGGCAATTCCTGAGTGTAGAGGCAGGAGTAAGCTCTGAGCATAGCCAGAGAAGCCCTCCATCCTTCCACCACCACCCCCCCCCCAAAAAAAGAAAAAACTCGAGATTTCAAAGCCATCTGGGATTGTTTCAAGAAAGGCAATTTGGGGTCTGGAGGACAGTGGGTAGAGCATTTGCCTTGCACACGGCCAACCCAGGTTTGACTCCCAGCATCCCATATGTCCCCTGAGTAGTGCCAGGAGTAATTCCTGAGTGCAGAGCCAGGAGTGGGACCCTGTGCTGTGTGCGGGGTGAATCCAAGTGCCAGACAGGTGCTCTACCCACCGTACTAACTCTGCGGCCCTCCTTGTCCTCCCAGCATTTTCCCATAAGTGCATCATTCATTACTATCTGCTGCGAGTCCTTTACGTGCTTTTAGAGTGGGGAGGAAGCAGCCAATTAACCCACATCAAACTCTAAGGGATGTACTGGGGTTCTTGGTGGTAGAACATGTGCATGGTGAAGGGACGGATGTTTGGTCATTGCATGACCGACCGAGACTTGAACTAGAAAGGCTTTGTGACTGTTCTCACGGTGATTCAATAAATAAAAAAAAATAAAACCATAGAGGCAGGGTGGGATGGGGGGTTGGGGGGTCGGGGGGTGGGAGGGATACTGGGATCAGTGGTGGTGAAGAATGGGCACTGGTGGAGGGATGGGTACTCGATCATTGTATAACTGAAACCCAAGCACAAAAATTTGTAAGTCGGGGCTGAAGTGATAGCACAGTGGGTGGGGCTTTTGCCTTGCACACGGCCAACCTGGGTTCGATTCCCAGCATCCCATGTGGTCCCCTGAGCACCGCCAGGAATGATTCCTGAGTGCAGAGCCAGGAGTAACCCCTGTGCATGGCCAGGTGTGACCCAAAAAGCAATAAAATAAAAAAAAATAAAATAAAAAAACCTGACAATAAAATCATGATCACAATCAACCTGTTGTTCGTCGATTGCCTCGAGCAGGCCCCAGTAACGTCTCCTTCGTCCTAGCCCAGAGATTTTAAAGAGTGCCATATTCAAGGCTCTTTCAGGGTTAGGAGAATGAGACCCATCACTGTTACTGGGTTTTGGCATATTGGGTTTGCCAGGGAGTTTACCATGTGGGCAGGTAACATAGGGTAGCCTGTCAGGTTGTCCAAAGTAAGAATGGGATAAAACCCAGCCATCTCATTCTATCTCATTCTTACTTTGGACAATAAAATATAAAAAAAAATTGTAAGTTTACAACTGTACCTCATGGTGTTTCACTAATAAAAATTTTTAATTAATTAAGTTTTAAAAATCAAATTAAAAAAAAAACTCTACTTAAGCCCCAAAAGGAAGAAATTTGGGGCTTGCCCAAATTTCTGCAGGAACACGCCAGCCCTACAGGGGCCGCTGCAGGCGGACTGAGCCTCCGGGTTCGCCAAGGGCCCTCCGAGCAAGCGGCGCCGGATCACGTGACCAGCCGCCGGGCGGGAGGGGGGGAAAAAAGAGCGCCGAGGAGGCCGCGGATTGGCCGCCACACTTCCGCTTCCCGAGGCGGGCGGGGCCGGAAACCCAACCCGGTGTCTGGGCCGCGCCGGGGGCGGGGCCGGAGGGCGCGCCGAGGCGAGCCCCGCCCCGGCGCGGATTGGCTGCGGGGCTGCGGGCGGTGCGGCGGGCCCCGCCCCCCGGCGCTGGTTGGCTGCCCGGGGCTGCGGGCGGTGCGGCGGGCCCCGCCCCCCGCGCGCGTTGGCTTTGGGGTTGCGGGCGGCGCGCGGGCGGGCGGCGTGCGGGCGGGCGGGCGGCGCGCGGGCGCGATGGCGACCTTTGTCAGCGAGCTGGAGGCGGCCAAGAAGAACCTGAGCGAGGCGCTGGGGGACAACGTGAAACAGTAAGCGCGGCCGGTTCGCGTGGCCCCGCGGCCTCGGAGCCCGGCCGGCCCGGGCCGGAGGCGCCGGCCTCCCCACCCCCGGGCAGAGGGGCGCCCGGAGCCGGGCTGGGCTCCACGCAGGAGGGGGCAATCCCGGGAGGACTTCCTGGAAGCGGGGGCCTCGCCGCGCCGGGCTCGGAAAGGCATGCTGCGACCCTGCGCTCTGCAGAGCTGCGGCCTGCGGGGGGTCGGGTGACGCCTTTGCAGGAGCGCGACCAGCCACCTGGACGGGTCCGGGCGGTGTGTGGGGGGGGGAGTGGTCGTTCCCATTTGACAGATGAGAAGACTGAGGTCCCGAAAGGTGCCCGAGGCCCCAGCCCGGCGGCTAACAGGTTGCCAAGCCCCGCCCCTCCCTCCCAGACCTTCACCCAGGCTGTGGGGTGTGGGGGGAACAGCAGGACCCCATCAGGGTGAGACGCTGAGCATCCAGGACGTGTGCAGTTATCTCAGAAGGAAGCTCAGACGGACCAGGAGTGCTGGGGAAGTTGGAGAACAGCAGGCGTCCTTACAGTTTTTGGGTTTTGTTTTTTGCTTTTTGGGTCACACCCGGCAATGCACAGGGGTTACTCCTGGCTCATGCACTCAGAAATCACTCCTGGCAGTGCTCAGGGGACCCTGTGGGATGCCGGGAATTGAACCCGGGTCGGCCGCGTGCAAGGCAATCGCCCTCCCTGCTGTGCTATCGCTCCAGACCCCCAGTTTTCATTTTTTAAAAATCTCGGCGTCCACCCGGGTTCAATCCCCTCACCCTGCACCCAATGTGAGCCCCTAAGCACCATGGGGGTGGCCGGAGAGATAGTGCAGTGGGTAGGGCCCTGTGTAGCCTGTGGCCTACCCGGGTTCAAGCCCCAGCGCTAGCCACGGTTGTTGGAGCCTTGAGCACAGAGCCGGGAGTAAGCCCTGAGCACCTCCTGGGTATGGAGTATAGGACAGGGAGCCGCCCGCCACGGCTGGAGCATGTGTCTGCTCGCAGTCAAAGACCCCCCCAGCACCTCACAGCACCCCCAGACACCCCAGCTCTGGTGTGGAGTGATTTTCTGAGCACCACAGGGCGTGACCCTAAAATAAAACAGAAACAAAACTCTCTGCCCCTGGAGGTGTGGCCCGCCTCGAGGCCACTGTCCTCTCTTTGTGTGAGTGTTGGGTTCGAGCCCCAGCACTGCCCAGAACTTAAGAAAATTGGGGGGCCGGGGGCTGGAGTGATAGCATAGCGGGTAGGGCGTTTGCCTTGCACGAGGCCGACCCGGGTTCGATTCCCAGCATCCCATAGGGTCCCCTGAGCACCGCCAGGAGTAATTCCTGAGTGCAGAGCCAGGAAGAACCTCTGTGCATCGCCGGGTGGGACCCAAAAAGGAAAAAGAAAATTGGGGGGTGGAGAGGCAGGCTGGAATGATACCACAGCAGAGAGGGCATTTGCATGTGGCCGACCCGGGTTCGATCCCCAGCATCCCGTAGGGTCCCTCAAGCATCACCAGGAGTCAGCCCTGAGCACCACCAGGTGTGACCCAAAAAAGCCAAAAAAGAAAAAAGAAAAATGCGTGGGATAGGGAGGCGTTAACATCCGCCACGTTCTGTGGTTTGTTCCACCCCATCCGTGGCCTTTCCGAGCGAGACGGGTCTTGGGGAGACTGTTCCCCTCCACTTTCTTCTCTCTTCATCCTCCTTGTCCTTTATTCTGATTGGATCCAAGTTGCTGGCCGGGATGGCGTAGGTCCGACTGGGGGAGTTTTTCCTCCTTATGAAATTTCAGGGAGGACCAGAGCTGGCGGTCACTGTCTCCTTCACCCCTCGTCCTGATGGGAGATGCAGGTTCCTCGCTGTCGGGCCCCTTGAGGCGCTCATAGCCCACACGGAATCGCTCGCACCCAAACAGCCTTGTTTTGTGTGAAGGGTACCCCTGGCAGTGCTCAGCTGTTACTCCTGACTCTGCTCAGGGCTCACTCCTGGCCGGCTCAGGCCAACCTCGAGGCAAGCGCCTGACCTCTGCCCTCTGTCTATCCCCAGAATGTCATTCTTGAGCTACCTTACTAGTGTGTTCATGGGTCAGACCACAACAGAAGTTAGCATTAAAATCTAATCTGGGGGGCTGGGGCAATAGCACAGCAGGGAGGGTATTTTGACTTGCACACGGCCAACCCGGGTTCGATTCTCGGCATCCCACAGGGTCCCCCGAGCACCACCAGGAGTGATTCCTGAGTGCAGAGCCAAGAGGGACCCCTGTGCATCGGCTGGGTGCGATCCAAAAACAGAAGAGAGAGAAAGAGAGACAGAGAGAGAGAGAGAGAGAGAGAGAGAGAGAGAGAGGATGAAAGGAAGGGAGAGGGCTAGAGGGAAGCCAGGATTCATTCTTTTGCACACACAGTCGGAGGAACTGGTCTTCATTCATGTTGGGGAGCCAGCTCACCCCACTCGCTGCCAATTTCTATTCACACTCGGCGACTTTCTAATGCGTGTCTGCGTTGGTGACAGATGTGGTCTGATGCTTTCCAGCCTTAGAAGCCGTCACAAGAATTCCAGTCCCCTTGGGTCAAAATACGACTGGCTCTGTGTGTGTGTGTGTGTGTGTGTGTGTGTGGTGGGCAGAGTTGGGGTTCATATACTTCCCCCCTTTTCCCTGGCTGCAGAAAACCCATTCCTTTGGTGGCATTTTCTGGGGTCCCACCCGGTGGGGGTTAGGAACTGTGTGGTACCTGGAGCCTATTCTGTTAAAACCAGGAAGGCTTTTGTTTTGTTTTGGTGCTCAGGGATCACTCTTGGCAGGGACTGGGGGACCCTATGGGGTGCTGGGGGTCTAACCCTGTCAGCCACGTGCAAAGCAAATCCTCCCCGCTGTGCTCTCTCAGACCCCCCAATCTCTCCTCTTTTTTTTTTTTTCCTGTCTTTTTGGGTCCCTCCCGGCGATGCTCAGGCTGATTCCTGGCTCTGTACTCAGGAATCACTCTTGGCAGTGCTCGGGGGACTATATGGAATGCCCGGGATCGAACCTGGGTCGGCCACATGTAAGGCCAACGCCCTCCCCAATGTCCTATCACTCCGCCCCCTGCAGCACTGATTTTTTTTTTTCTTTTTGGGTCCCACTTGGTGATGCTCAGGGGTCGCTCCTGGCTCCTGGCTCTGCGCTCAGGAATCACTTCTGGCGGTGCTCGGGGGACCCTATGTGATGCCAGGGATCCAACCCGGGTCGGCCGTGTGCAAGGCAAATGCCCTCCCCGCTGGGCTATTTCTCTGGGCCATTCTTCCCCTTGGTGCTCTGAGCCCACTCCTGACCTCTTCACCGCCACTGTGTGTGTGCGGGTATCTGGGGACTGTTACTGGCCACACCCCATGGTGCCGAGGGGACTGTGAGATGCTGAGGTGGAACCCAGGACCATGCATGCGAAAATCGCACCGGGCCCTTTAGCCGTGTCCTGGGCCCCATCTCTTCTTCTTTTTTTTTTTTTTGCCTTTTGGGTCACACCGGCGATGCACAGGAGTTCTTCCTGGCTCTGCACTCAGGAATCACCCCTGGCAGTGCTCAGGGGACCATATGGGATGCCGGGAATCAAACCCAGACCCTGTGGACCCTGTGTTGCAAGGCAAACGCCCTCCCCACTGTGCTATTGCTCCAGCCCCTGAGCCCGTCTCTCAAAGGGGCAGCAGCTGCGTTGCTCCCGGGCCCCCCGACAGCCCCCTGCTCTCTTTGGGCCCCCACTCCAGTCTCTGGGGACTCGGGGCTGCGGCATATGGATTTGGGGAGCTCGGCTAGAGCCCAGAGCATGGGGAGGGGTCGGGGTGGGCGGGTCTTCCTGCATTGCTTCCCCCCCCCCCCGCCCGCAGGTACTGGGCCAACCTGAAGCTGTGGTTCAAGCAGAAGATCAGCAAGGAAGAATTTGACCTGGAGGCGCACCGGCTGCTCACTCAGGACAACGGTAACGTCGCGGCCGTTTTCTGGACTTGGCCCAGGTTTCCCAGGGGCCCGGCATCTCTCCCCAGAGGGGCACTCGATCTGGGCTTCAGGGGGGCTGGAGGTTCTGGGTGGGACGGGGTTCTGGGAGCTCAGTAGCAGAGTCAGAGCCAAATTCGTCCTTGGGCCTCCAGTACCACCGGGCGCGTTAGCCCTGAGCATCCTCCCAAACGCAGTGACCACAGCCGAGGAGGGCGGGGCAGAGCCGAGCTCTGTGCTCACTGCAGTGTCCTGCCCTCCGTTTTCCAGTTCATTCCCATAATGACTTCCTGCTGGCCATCCTCACGCGGTGTCAGATCCTGGTGTCCACCCCAGGTAAGGACCAGGGGCTTCTGGGCTCTCTGCAGTCAGGCTGTGGCACCCCTGCGATGCAGCTTCCTTCAGCCATGCCACGGGGGACCCCTGGGTGGCCGCTGGGGCATAGCCTCGAGGACATGGATGCTGGTTCCCCTGAGCTCGCCCAGAGTCAGCGGCTAAATTCCTTCACCCACAGGCCGGAGCGATAGCACAGCGGATGGGGGGTGGGGTGGGGGGTTGGCCTTGCACACGGCCGACCTGGGTTCGATTCCCAGCATCCCATATGATCAGCACTGCCAGGAGTGATTCCTGAGTGCAGAGCCAGGAGGAACCGCTGAGCATTGCCAGGTGGGACCCAGAATTTTAAAAAAGAAAAGAAAACAATGTGACCGATCGCCTAGGAAGCAAAAAGGTGATTTGATTCTACAATTTTGTTGCGAGAAGAAAGAAGAGGTTTGAGTGGAAGCATTTGGGGGTGTTTTTATCCTTAAGCCCCTCTCAGCCCCTGTGAGAGCCACCCCACACGCCGTTGTCCCCCTGGTTGACTGTCGCTCTTCTCTCTCATAGAGGGGGCCGGGTCCCTGCCCTGGACAGGAGGGTCTGCAGCCAAGCCAGTGAAGCCCAAGGGCAGGAAGAAGCTCTCGTCCGTCCGCCAGAAGTTTGACGTAGGTTGTTCTTGACGTCAGGGCCGGGGACTAGTTGTGGTTTTGGGGTTTTTTGTTTGTTTGTTTTTTTGCTTTTTGGGTCACACCTGGCGATGCACAGGGGTTACCCCTGGCTTTGCACTCAAGAATCACTCCTGGCGGTGCTCAGAGGACCATGTGGGATGTTGGAAATCGAACCCGGGTCGGCCGCGTGCAAGGCAAACGCCCTACCCGCTGTGCTATCTCTCCAGCCCCACTCGTTGTGTTTTTAAGATGAAAACTGGGCGTTGGGTTGGAGGGGTGGGGGGTGGAGGGCTGAGGTTGGGGGCAGGAGAAGGCATCCCTGCCTTCGGGATTGGCCGAGGTGCCCAGGAAAGCCGGGTGGGCACAGATTGTCAGCAGGACCCGGTAACGTGGTGTTGACCCAGCAATCGGGCCTCTCTGTGCTCTCTCCTGTTACCCTTGCTCCGGCGCGGGTGACGTTTCTCAGACGGGGGATTGTCTCGCGAACATCTCCCAAAGCAGCAAGATCCTGGGGTGCGTGAACAAAGCCCGAAGCCTTCTGAGCATCCGCAGAGAAGTCACACAGGCCCTCTCTGGTTGGAAAGCTCCGTCGAGGTCTTCAAACGACTTTGCACCCATCTTGGGGAACGGTTTCCCAAAGATAGCCCTCTTATGGGTTTGGGGGGGTTTTGTTTGTTTGTTCGTTTTTTGCTCTTTGGGTCACACAGTCCGGCGATGCTCAGGGCTGACTCCTGACTCTGCACTCAGGAATCACGCCTGGCGGTGCTCGGGGGACCCTGTGGGATGCCGGGGATCGAACCTGGGTCGGCCACGTGCAAGGCAAATTGCTCTCCCCGCTGTGCTATCGCTCCGGCCCCCTGTTAAGGGTTTGAAAATTTCTGGTTCACTTCACTGATCCCAGTCAGCAGACACACATCGGCTTCCACTTTTGCGGAGTCCAGTAATATGCAATCCAGCAGGATCAACATCTCCAGGGCTCATGCTTGGTTTGAAAACACACGTTTGTCAGAAAATGCAGTTTTCTGGGCCCTTAGCAATCACACAGCAGGGAGGGCATTTGCCTTGCACGCAGCCAACCCAGGTTCGATCCCCAGCATCCCATTGGGTCCCCCGAGCACCGCCAGGAGTGATCCCTGAGTGCAGAGCCAGGAGGAACCCCTGTGCATAGCCAGGTGTGACCCAAAAACTAACTTAAAATGTTGTTTTCTGCTTGGAAAAATAGAAAAACCATATTTAGTGGACAAACTTCAAACAGGGCCAAGCCACTTCAGTGTTAAATCCTGTAGGCTGGAGAGAAGCATCAGCTTCCAGGAATGTGTCTCCCCCTTGTGACATCGGGTCCATGAGAATTTCCCGAAGGAAAATTGAGATTTTACGAGTGAAAAGGATGGAGGAAGAACTAGTTTTAAGGGGCTGGAGCGATAGCACAGCAGGTAGGGCATTGGCGTTGCACGCAACCGACCCGGGTTCGATTCCCAGCATCCTAAAGGGTCCCCCGAGCACCACCAGGAGGAATTCCTGAGTGCAGAGCCAGGAGTGACCCCTGTGCATCGCCAGATGTGAGCCAAAAAAGCAAAAAAAACACCAACTCGTTTTAATAGTGGGATTGTAGCACTGCACAATTGTAATGCAGTGTAGATTGTAGCATTGTCCTCCCATTCATCGATCTGCTCAGTTTGCTCAAGCAGGCCCAGTAACGTCTCCATTGTGAGACTTGTTGTTACTGTGTTTGTGACAGAGACAGTGGGACTGTATCCTAAAAAAAAGATTCTGTATTAAGAATCATAAGTAAATTATTGGCCAGAGAGATAGTACAGCGGGGAGGGCGTTTGCCTTGCACGTGGCCGACCCGGGTTCGATCCCCGCATCCCATAGGATCCCCCAAGCACCGCTAGGAGTGATTCCTGAGTGCAGAGCCAGGAGTCAGCCCTGTGCATCGCTGGAATGTGTGACCCAAAGAGCAAAACAAAAAAAAAAAGAATTGAACCCTGAGCATCGCTGGGTGTGACCCAAAAAGCAAAAAAAAATTAAAAAATAAAAAGAATAAATTGAGTTTTTTGTTTTTTTTTTTTTTGCTTTTTGGGTCACACCTGGCGATGCACAGGGGTTACTCCTGACTCTGCACTCAGGAGTTACTCCTGGCAGTGCTCAGGGGGCCATATGGGATGCTGGGAATCGAACCCGGGTCGGCTGTGTACAAGGCAAACACCCTACCCACTGTACTATCTCTCCAGCCCAGAATAAATTGAGATTTATACTGACCACTGGCCCACCTTAGCTCAGGTCACTGTCACTGCATTATTTTATGATGCATGCTGTTTTCGTCCCACCTGTGTGTCACGGGATGATAACCCATCACTGCTGTTTCTGGCTGTATTTCCCCCTGCCCCCCGGCCCTCCGCGCCAGTTCTGGCAGGGGAACTCGTGGGCCCGGAGGCCGGTCTGTGGGTCGCAGAGAGCCCAGTCCCGGATGATCTGAACAGTGCCCTTGTGCCCACAGCATAGATTCCAGCCGCAGAACCCGCTCTCGGGGGCCCAGCAGTTCGTGGCCAAGGACCCCCAGGATGATGACGACCTCAAGCTCTGCTCGCACACCATGCTGCTGCCCACCCGGGGCCAGCTGGAGGGGCGGATGATCGTCACCGCCTACGAGCACGGGCTGGACAACGTCACGGACGAGGCTGTCTCGGCAGTGGTCTACGCCGTGGAGGTCAGTTAAGGGCAAGGGGCAAGGGGCTGCTCTCCTCCGAGGGGAGAAACACCCCAGCGCGTTGCCTTCAGTTCGCAGGCCAGGCCCCCTCTGAAAGATCCTGGGGCTGGAGCCTTGCCCGGGCCGACCGGGGTTTGAGCCCCGGCATCCCGTGTGGTTCCCTGAGCCCCGCCAGGAGGGATCCCCGAGTACAGAGCCAGGAGTCAGCCCTGAGCATCACTGGGGTGTGGCTCAAAAAAGAGAGAGGGGGCTGGAGCGATAGCACAGCGGGGAAGGTGTTTGCCTTGCACGCGGCCAACCCAGGTCCGATTCCCAGCATCCCATAGGGTCCCCCGAGCACCGCCAGGAGTGATTCTTGAGTGCAAAGCCAAGAATAACCCCTGAGCATCGCCGGGTGTGACCCAAAAAGAAAAAAAGAGAAAGAGAACATTGATTTTATCTTTGTACTTTTACTTAAAACATCTTTAAGAGGGAAGGGAGACACTTGAGAGAGAGAGAAAAACACATTCTCAGATAATACCACGTTGCGGGAGTCTAGGAATCCCCCCGGGAAACGGGAGATCAGGGGGTGTGTCTCAGCGGCTGCTTCGGGGAGCTCACAACCTCCCCGCCTCTGCTCCCCAGAACCACCTGAAGGACATCCTGACATCGGTGGTATCCAGGAGGAAAGCCTTCCGCCTGCGAGACGGTCACTTCAAGTACGCCTTTGGCAGCAACGTCACCCCGCAGCCCTACCTGAAGAACAGCGTGGCGGCCTACAACAGCCTCATGGAGAGGTGGGGACCTGCGCCCCTCCCCACCCCACCCCCCCACACACACACTCAGGCCCTTGAAAACTGCCACCATCATTCCCCGTAGCACAGCAGGGAGGGTGTTGGCCTCTAATGCAGCCAACCCAAGTTCAATCCCCAGCATCCCATAGGGTCCCCCGAGCACCGCCAGGAGTGATTCCTGAGTGCAGAGCCAGGAGTCAGCCCTGAGCATCACTGGGTGGAACCCAAAAAGCAAAATGAACTTTAAAAAGTGAATTAAAGGGGCTGGAGCAATAGCACAGCGGATAGGGCATTTGCCTTGCAGGTGGCCAACCCGGGTTCGATTCCCAGCATCCCATATGGTCCCCTGAGCACCGCCAGGGGTAATTCCTAACTGCAGAGCCAGGAGTAACCGCTGTGCATCTCCGGGTGTGACCCAAAAAGCAAAAAAAAAAAAAAGTGAATTAAAAATGAATTTCTGGGGCCAGAATGATAGCAGAGCAGGTAGGGTATTTGCATTGCACGCAGCCAACCCGGGTTCAATCCCCGACATCCCATCCAGTCCCCTGAGCACCACCAGGAGTGATTCCTGGGTGCAGAGCCAGGAGTCGGCCCTGAGCACCGCCGGGTGGGACCCAGAAAAAGCCACACAAAAGTGGAGCACTTGCCCCGCACGTCTGCAGCCCTGGAGTCACCCCCACCCCCGTCCCCAACCCCAGAGTCATCAAGTAATTCCTCAGCAGAGGCCAAGCAGTAGGGAGCTGAGACTCCTCCCCTCCACTGCCGGTGCCAACTCTGTCCCCTTTTGCCCCCCCCCCAGCCCCCCGGCCTTCTCCGGCCCCTGTGCTGGCCAGAACCCCGTGTCCCAGCCACCCCCGGACGATGCCGAGCAGCAGGCCGCACTCCTGCTGGCCTGCTCCGGGGACACGCTGCCCACCACGCTGCCGCCCGTCAGCATGTACGACCTGTTCGAGGCGCTGCAGGTAACGCGGGCGCTCGCCACTCTCCACCCCTGCACCACCCTGGCGCCCCTCCTCGCCTGCCCCGACTGACCGACCTCCCGGTCAGCGCACGCGGGGTCAGTCCCCTTGGCCCCCTTAGAGAAGCCCGGGCCTGCTTCAGAGACACTGGGTGGCGGTTCTGAGTGAGGACTTGGCCCATGGGTGTCTGAGAGGACTCGCGTCCGAGGGTGACTGAGGGGACTCGGGCTGTGGGTGTCTGAGGGGACTCGGGTCCGAGGGTGACTGAGGGGACTCGGGCTGTGGGTGTCTGAGGGGACTCGTGTCCGTGGGTGACTGAAGGAACCCAGTGCCCATGGGTGACTGCAGGGACTGGGTCCACTCTCCGTGCTCAGGTGCACCGCCAGGTGATCCCCACGCACACCGTGTATGCCCTCAACATCGAGAGGATCATCACCAAGCTCTGGCACCCCAACCACGAGGAGCTGCAGCAGGACCGTGTCCACCGACAGCGCCTGGCCACCTGCGAGGAGGCGCCGCTGTGCTGAGGGGGCCGCAGGCCGGCCCGGACAGGACTGAGGGGCCACAGTTCACCACGAGACCTGGACATGTGACCTTTCCCGGGAGAACGTTCCGGGCTGCCACTGTGAATGAGACCCGCTCAGAACAACCCCCGTCCCTCCTCTCTCCCTCCCTCTCTCTCTCCCTCTCTCCCTCCCTCCCTCCCCCTTTCTTTCTCTCTCTCCCTCTCCCTCTCTTCCTCTCTCTCCCTCTCTCCCTCCCTCCATCTCTCTCTCTCCCTCGCTCTCTCCATCTCTCCCTTTCTCGGTCCCTGCCTCTGATCAGGGGCTGTGTAGGAGGCAGAGTCAGAGAGGAGCCTGGGCACCGGCCTGCATCCATCCCAGGCCACAGGACAGACTCTGGGCTCAGGGGTGACCTCCAGGCCGAACCCTCCACCCTTCTTCCAAAGCTGGTGCCCTCATGTTTGGGCTGGAGGGATGCGGTGTCAAGGCAGACGCCTCCTCCCTGGCCCCTATCACTTCTGCTAGGTCTGGGTCGCTCCCTGCGAACCCCTGGCAGCTCCAGAGAAACACGACTTCGGTGCTGTCCTGTTCAACCCAATAGAGTTCTTCCTTTATATCCAGAACCAAAAAAAAAAGAAAGAAAGAAAACACAAAACCCAACGAAACTCTTGGAATGTGATTAACTGACCTTATATAAAATGTCTTCCAGGGGCCGGAGCGATAGCACAGCGGGGAGGGCGCTTGCCTTACACGCGGCCAACCTGAGTTCGATCCGCGGCATCCCATAGGGTCCCCCGAGTACCGCCAGGAGGAACCCCTGAGCATCACCGGGTGTGACCCAAAAAGCAAAAAAAAAAAAAAAGAAATGTCTTCCAAAAAATATATATATATGTCTTCCAATAACCCAAGCTTCTCTTATAGTTTATATGTCTAGGGGCATTGACTGTCCCTTATTCTGTTCGTTACTCCTATTTTCAAAACTCCACGTTGGGTTTGCACTCGGTAATTTCCCTGTCCTCGTGAAATGCCCATTTCTATCGTTGCAGATGATAAGGTGGAAAGCGTTTCTGTTAGGCAGTGTTCTTAGGCAAGTTTGGTTTTGCTTTTGAATGTGTGGGTGGATACAGTAGGGGGTTTTGTGGACGTCTGAATAATATTTGTGTAGATATGTATATATGGCTTAGTGGATTGGTGTATTTGAATTTGTACTTTAACTGTGATAAATAAAACTTTTGGGAGAAAACCTGTTTGTTTCTTTCTTAAGGTAGCTTAATAAAAATATTGCCTCCTGGGGCTGGAGTGAGCACAGCGGGTAGGGAGTTTGCCTTGCACACAGCTGACCTGAGTCCGATTCCTAGCATCCCATATGGTCCCCCGAGCACCACCAGGAGTAATTTCTGAGTGCAGAGCCAGGAATAACCCCTCTGATCACCAGGTGTAACCCAAAAAGCAATATATAGTATATATACACATATATATGTGTGTGTGTGTGTGTGTGTGTGTGTGTGTGTGTATAGGCTGGAGCGATAGCACAGCAGGTAGGGCACTTGCCTTATATGCGGCTGATCTGGGTTCAATTCCTCCGCCCCTCTCAGAGAGCCCAGCAAGCTACCTAGAGTATCTCACCCTTACGGCAAAGCCTGGCAAGCTACCTGTGATGTATTCGATATGCCAAAAACAGTAATACAAGTCTCACAATTTGTTGTGAGACATTATTGGTGCCCGCTCTAGCAAATCGAATAACGGGAGGACAGTGCTATAGGACGGTGTGTATATGTGTGTGTGTGTGTGTGTGTGTGTATCTATATATAGCCTGGGGCCAGAGCAATAGAACAGCAGGGAGGGTGCTTGCCTTGCACAGCCAACCTAGGTCCCCAGCACCCCATATGTTCCCCAAATCCACCAGGAGTGATCCCTGAGTGCAGAGCCAGGAGTAAGCCCTGAGCACCACTGAGTGTGGCCCAAAACCAAAAAAAGTAAATACTGCCTCCTAAAAGATAAAAAGCTGTGGCTGGCGAGATAGTACAGTAGATAGGGCATTTGCCTTGTACCTGGCAAACCCGGATTCAATCCCCAGCATCCCATATGGTCCCCTGAGCACCGCCAGGAGTAATTTCTGAGTGCAGAACCAGGAGCAACCCCTGAGCATCGCTGGATATGCCCCAAAAAGCAAAAAAAGAGAGAGAGAGAGAGAGAAAACCTGTCCTCGGAAGATCTTCCGCAGAAAGTTTTCCAAAGGACGTCCTGGGGGCCAGAGAGAGATAATCTAGTGGGTAGGGTGCTTGCCTTCCAAGTAGTCAACCTGGATTTGATTCCCGGCACTCCATATGGTTCCCTGGGCCTCACCATGAGATTCCTGAGCTCAGAGCCAGGAGTAAGCCCGACGCATCATTGGCTGAGGCCCAAAAACAACAATGAAAAACAAAGATTTAAAAAGGTTCTGATTAGCTGGAGCTATAATAATAATACAGCCAAGAGGGCAAACATCTGCCTGGCACGCAGCCGACCCAGGTTCAATCCCCAGCATCCCCTGAGCACCTCCAGGAGTGATTCCTGAGTGCAGAGCTAGGAGAGATCCCTGTGCATCACCAGGTGTGACTCAAAAAAATAAAATTAACCTCCCTTTGTTTGCCTTGCACACAGCCAATCCAGATTCGAGTCCCAGTATCCCATATGGTCTCATGCTCTGGGAGTAATTTCTGATTGCAGAGCCAGGAGTCAACCCTCAGTATCACCGGGGTGGCCCGAAAACCAAATGATAAGAATAATAACCTAATAATAGTAGCACTGTCCTCCCATTGTTCATCGATTTGCTCGAGCGGGCCCAGTAACATCTCCATTGTGAGACTTTGTTGTTACTGTGTTTGGCATATCAAATACGTCTCGGGGAGCTTGCCAGGCTCTCTGAGAGGGGCGGAGGAATCAAACCTGGCTCAGCCAGGCCGGCTGCACGCAAGGCAAATGCCCTATCGCTGTGCTATTGCTCCAGCCCTAATAATGATCATCAATAAATCAGTCTCCTTACAGAGTTCCTTCAAGTGATGATGACCAAGACACAGTCCCCTTCACCCACCTCTTCACCCCAAAAAAGTCGGTACGAGGAGGACAGCACCAAGGGCAGTGCTTGTGCTCTGCATGTAGAAGCTCGAACCCTGGCACAGCAAGATCCCCTGAGCATTGCCAACGGGTGGCACAAAACCCACCTGGTTAAGGGGTCGGGGAGCATACCCCCATTTCCCCCGCCCCCACCCTTCATATCAACCAAGGAGCTCCTATCAAAGGAAGAAAACCAGTTTAAAGTCAAACATAAGGGGCCGAAGCCATAGCACAGCGGGGAAGGCGTTTGCCTTGCATGCAGTCAACCTGGGTTCAATCCCCAGCATCCCCTAGGGTCCCCCCCAAGCACCGCCAGGAGTGATTTCTGAGTGTAGAGCCAGGAGGAACCCCTGAGCATCGCCGGGTGTGGCCCCAAAAGAAAAATTAAATAAAATCGCACGTCACATTTCTCTTCCTTGGAGTGATGGCACGGCGGGGAGGGTGCTGGCCTAGAATAAGGCCGACCTGGGTTCGATCCCTGGTACCCCACAGGGCTCCCTGGGCAGAGCCAGGAGTAACCCCAGAGAATTGCCAGATGTGGCCCCAAAACAAAACTCTTCTCCATAGACCAGTATGACTGCTTTGCCCGCATTTTTTTTTTTTGCTTTTGGGGGTCACAGGAATCACTCCTGGCGATGTGCTTGGCATTTGTGCAAGGCAAACGCCCTCCCCGCTGTGCTGTCACTCCAGTCCCGTCTTTCTCTTTAACCCAAGCATTGTCCGTATCGTCACCCACAGATGGAAAAAGCAACTCCCCACTTGAAACATGACATTCCACTCTGCTGGCTGGCTCGCCGCAAAGAAAACTCGCAGAGCCCACTGTGTTCATTATCAAAGTTTATTGTTGGTCAGTTCCTAGCCTACAACTACGTCTCGGCATGTGCTCTAGTGACACTGAACAAACAGTCACCCGCAGAGTTACAAGGCTCTGTTAGGTGTAGCTCATTAAGTCAGTGGCGGGAGGAACCCCAAACCCTCACGATGGGGTCAGCATCCAGGAAGGTTCCAGTGCTCTACAAACTATAAGGCTTCATCTACCGTGATGACGGGCCTCAGTGGAGGCGCCCGGGACAGATGTCTGGCCTGTGCTGTAGCTCCAATAAGGACCCCTAAGTAGGGAGATCCAAGATCCTTCAAGTCCCCAAAGCAGTAGAACAAAATTAAAGGGGGTAGGGGGCACACGAGAAGGGCCAGGGATAAGGAAGATGGAAGATAAATTAAGTGAAACTGGAAGGGAACGGAAACTTGTGGAAGGGAATGGAAACTTCTGGGAGTGAATGGAAACTTCTGGAATGGAAAGCAGCTGATCTGAGTTGTTATTTGAGATGACAAATACAGAACCAGGAAGAGGAATTTCAACTATTGAGGTTCCTCGGAGACCAGGGACGAAGTGAGATTCGGCTCCAACACTCAGAGAAAAACTGATTTGACAACATGACATGGGTTTTCCTAGCAGAAAAACGAGTACCTGAGTAGAAATAGGTATTTTTTCAAAACAGAATCTCATTCTCTCTCTCTCTCTCTCTCTCTCTCTCTCTCTCTCTCACACACACACACACACACACACACACACACACACACACACAGTTTACTGGAACGGATCTTGGTAGACTGTGACTGAGTCCAGCATCGGAATGACGCATCCGGCAACGGCTCGGTCTGGAGGATTCGGGGCGGTGCTTGTTCATGTGTGTGTAGCAGCACACAGAATGTGGAAGGAATGTTTGCAGGACCCTCCACTGAGGTGGGAATGCAACTGGGTCGTGGGGAAAAATGCCCAAGACCTCCTACCTATTTCTGTAGGGCAGAAGGTGGTGACACAGTCATGCCTGGGGAAGGGGAAGGGACAAGGGAGGGGAGGAGGAGAGAGGGGCCTGAGTGAGAGCACAGCGGGGAGGGCGCTGGCCTGGCACGTGGCCAACCTGGGATCCATCCCCAGCATCCCAGAGGGTCCCCCGAGCACTGCCAGGAGTGATTCCTGAGTGCAGAGCCAGGAGTCAGCCCTGAGCATCGCCGGGTGGGACCCAAAAGGAAAAAAAAAGAAAGGAAAAAGGAAGGAAGGAAGGAAGGAAGGAAGGAAGGAAGGGGAGGGAAGGAGAAAGAGTGGGAGGGAAGGAAAGAGGGAGGGAAGGAAGGAAAGAAGGAAGGAAGGAGGGAAGGAGGAAAGGAGGGAGGGAGGGAAGGAAGAAGGAGGGAAAGAGGAAGGAAGGAAGGAAGGAAGGAAGGAAGGAAGGAAGGAAGGAAGGAAGGAAGGAAGGGGGGAGGGAAGGAGAAAGAGTGGGAGGGAAGGAAAGAGGGAGGGAAGGAAGGAAAGAAGAAGGAAGGAGGGAAGGAGGGAAGGAGGAAAGGAGGGAGGGAGGGAAGGAAGAAGGAGGGAAAGAGGAAGGAAGGAAGGAAGGAAGGAAGGGGGAGGGAAGGAGAAAGAGTGGGAGGGAAGGAAAGAGGGAGGGAAGGAAGGAAAGAAGAAGGAAGGAGGGAAGGAGGGAAGGAGGAAAGGAGGGAGGGAAGGAAGAAGGAGGGAAAGAGGAAGGAAGGAAGGAAGGAAGGAAGGGAGGGAGGGAGGGAGGGAGGGAGGGAGGGAGGGAGAAAGAGTGGGAGGGAAGGAAACAGGGAGGGAAGAAAGGAAGGAAGGGAGGAAGGAGGGAGAGAGGGAGAAAGAGTGGGAGGGAAGGAAAGAGGGAGGGAAGGAAGGAAAGAAGGAAGGAAGGAGGGAGGGAGAGGGAGGGAAGGAGGGAAGGAAGGAAGGAAGGAAGGAAGGAAGGGAGGAAGGGAGGAAGGAGGGAGAGAGGGAAAAAGAGTGGGAGGGAAGGAAAGTGGGAGGGAAGGAAGGAAGGGAGGAAAGGAAGGAGAGGGGAGGGGAGGGGAGGGGAGGGGTCCAGCCTGGTACCATGGTGAGAACAATCACTGATGGCGACGGTGCCAGGAACTGCCCGGTTGCCTGGCTACCATCTGGGGGTCTGGGGTGGGGGCTGCCCTCAGCCGTGCTGGGCCTTGTGGCCAGTCAGACCCCAAACATCCAAGAGCGCCTCTGTCCGCTTGGGTCTGAGGAAGAGGCTTCCCTGGGCGGACTCTGAGGCAGGGGGCGGCCACGGGAGTTGGGGGCGGGGTGCAGAGATGACACCGTCCACGTGAGCATCCATAAAGACGCCTGCAGGAAAGGAGCTCGAGGTGGAACCCCGAAAGCTCCCTCTGCAGGAGCCCATCCTCCTTCCTATGTACACATCTCTGGAGCGCCACAGGAGGAGGACTTTCGACGACAAGAAATGGGGTGGCTTCTCCCAGCATCCTGACTACAGACACACAGGGGACGGCGACAGCTGCCGTCCTGGGCTCGTCCCGACCCAGGCTGTGTCCAGCCTCGTCCTGCCTCCCACTGTCCCCTCCGCACCGTGTCACCTCGGGAACCTTCCACATCTGTTGGGACTCAGTTTCCATCTGCCAGCAAACAGAGCGCCCGGTGGGGGGTGGGGGGGGGTGGGCATCACCCTGGGAATTTAGAAACCGGAAGGAAGCCTTTTCTGAGAAAAACCAGCCCCGATCCACAGCCAGGCCAGTCGCTCCGGGTCTGCATGCAGCGAGGATGCCACCCCAAGCACCGCGGGGAGCGACCCCTGAGCACGAGGAGTTGTGCTCAAGCCAAATCAAACCGAACAACCAGTCCGTGACGAGGGCTGGAGCAATAGGGCAGCAGGGAGGGCATTTGCCTTACACGTGGCTGACCCGGGTTTGATCCCCAGCATCCCCTAGGGTCCCCAGAGCACCGCCAGGTGTGATTCCTGAGTGCGGAGTCAAGAGTCAGCCCCAAGCACTACCAGGCGTGGCCCAAACATCCCCCAGTGAGAATCGTGAGAGGAGGTCCAGCCCCGACTGCTGACCGCTGGCCACCCTATGTGATTCAGTGATTCTCGGGGTCACACTCTCGGGGCATCTCCCCTCCAGCCGGCATGTCGCCCTCGATCTCCCAGAGGACGCCGTCCTCGTCCTCCAGGCTGCTGGAGATGTGGCACTTCCGGAAGCCCTGCACGATGGCCTCGCTGGAGATGCTGTCCCAGGCCACCATGACCCACTCCAGGAAGAGCCCCAGGGGCGGCTTCTTGGCGTTGCCCGTGGGGCTGAGCGCCAGGTTGCCCGCCAGCAGCCAGTCGGCGTACTGCGCACGCACACTGTCGTTGAGCGGCTTGTACACCACCACGTCCAGCACCTGCAGCTGCGACGTCAGGCCCCCAGGGATGATGACCATGTCGGTGTCCAGGCTCTCCATGGCGCCTTTCACTGCATCCGTGGCGTGGCCGCGGAAACCGTTGAGGATGAGCAGTCCCCGCTGCCGGGGCAACGCCCCGCCACGCCGCCTCCACACCACCTCCAGCCAGTCCCGCATGAGTTCCTCCGTCATCCAGCCATAGCGGTGACAGCGGATCTCCATGCCGCTGGGGAACTTCCCGGGCGGGATGTAGGTGCCGCGCAGGATGATGTAGGGGGGCAGTTTCCTGCCGTCGGCCAGCACCCCCAGCATGGCCGTGATCTTCAGCTTCTCCCGGCCCGGCGTCTTCACCAGCACCGGCTTCTCGCCGCGGTTGTCCACGGCCACGCGGGACGGCACCTCCAGGCAGATGGGCGTCTCATCAGCGTTGCCCATCTGCGCCACCGGGTAGTCGTGCAGCCGGCGCAGGGCCAACACACTGCGCTGGTAGGCAGCCAGCTTCTCGGTGAGGTCCTCCGGGAGCTGCTGGGGTGCCGGCACCTTGTGGCGCAGTGACAGGTCGTAGCGTCGCATCATCCGGCGACACCAGCCCAGGCTGGCCTTGAAGCCCTTCTCGGGGATGTTCATCTCCTGCGCGATCTCCAGCGCCTTCAGCTGCATGGCCTCGCGCGTGATGGGGTCACCCTTGGCCTGCATGGCCCGCACGTACTCGGCCACCCGCTGGTCCACCAGGGCGAAGCGGCCGTTCTTGGGGCCCCGGAAGGCGCGCCGCATGGCGTGGGCCTTCTGCAGCTGCGGCTTCACCTTGCGCCAGTCCCTCACGTTCTTCTCCAGAACCCCGAACTGCTTGGCCGCCTGGCAGTTGTTGGCCGCCTCGGCGTACTCCACGACCATCAGCTTGAAGCCGGCGTCGTAGCTGCGTCGGATGGTCCGGAACTTGCCGGCCAGCTCCTCGGCCGACAGGTCGTAGCCCGGGAAGCCCATGGCCATGTAGAAGGGGTAACTCTCCCCCCACTCGAGGTCCTGGGGCAGGCGGAGGCCGAACCCATCTAGGGCCGGCGGCGGCGGGGGCAGATGCGATGGGGGCAGGTGGGGGGAGGCTGCCCAATCCGGGGGCTTCGCGGCGGGTTCTTCGTTTTCTGGCACAAGGATCGCGGTGGGGAGCAAAAAAAAATAAATTAAATAGCGGCTGGAGAGATAGCACAGCGGGGAGGGCGTTTGCCTTGCACACGGCCAACCCGGGTTCGATTGCCAGCATCCCATAGGGTCCCCTGAGCACCGCCAGGAGTAACTCCTGAGTGCAGAGCCAGGAGGAACCCCTGTGCATCGCCAGGTGTGACCCCCCCCCCCAAAAAAGAATATTTAACCTTGGGGTGGGGGGGGCGGTAGAACTATAGCACAGTGGGGAGGGCGTTTGCCTCACATGCAGCTGACCAGGGTTCGATCTCCGGCATCCCGTAGAGTCCCCCGAGCACCGCCAGGAGTGATTCCTGACTGCATGAGTCAGGAGGAACCCCGATGCATCGCCGGGTGTGACCAAAAAGGAAAAAAAAAAATATTTAACCAGGGCTGGAGCAATAGTACAACTGGTAGGGAGTTTGCCTTGTACGCGGTCGACCTGGGTTCGATTCCCAGCATCCCATAGGGTCCCCTGAGCACCACCAGGAGTAATTCCTGAGTGCATGAGCCAGGAGGAACCCCTGTGCAATGCCGGTTGTGACCCAAAAGGGGAAAAAAACAAAAGAATATTTAACCTTGGGACCGAAGGGTTAGGGCAGTGGGAAGGTGCTCGCCTGACACGCAGCCGCCCCAGGTTCGATCCCAGCATCCCATAGGATCCCCTGAGCCCCACCAGAAATGATTCCTGAGCACAGAGCCAAGAGGAACCCCTGAGCATCGCCAGGTGTGGCAAGTCTACTGCACAAACACAGACAAACATAGAACCTTTCTTGGATAGATGGAGCAAAGGGCTGAGGCACGTCCTTTGCATGCAGGAGCCCTGAGTCCGAGCCCTTGCTTCCCAGGGTGCCCCAAGCACCTGCAGCAGTGACCCCTGAGCACTGGCCAGCAACGTTTCCTGAGCCTTAACCCAAGCAGCAATAACACCAGTTCTTAAAAGAACTGTGTCTCACGATTGCACCTCCCGCAGTGTTCAGGGATCCCTCCCTCCCAGCAAGGTCCGGGAGACCCTTTGGTATGCCGGGGATCGAACCCGGGACAATGCGTGCACAGCAAGCACCCTCCCCGCCGTCCTCTTAGCCGCAAGAACGGTGTTTTTGTGTGAGTTTCTGTTTTTGTTTTTTTTTAACTCCACAGCCGTCGGCTTTGCTTCCTCACACCTTTGCCTCTGGCTCTCGAAGGCCGCAGACTGGGCTGAGGACGGGGGCCAGGCTGGGGTGCCATCCTACCTGCAAAGGCTTCTCTCTGGGGGTGCCACTCGTCCGAGCTCTGACACGCCTTCTCCTCCAGGCGGGTGATAATGTCAGGCTTAGGGAATGGAAACTCTGCACGGGCGGGACGACAGGCAGAGCCGGTGGTGACTCCTGAGCACTGGGCGATGCTCCCGGAGCACCCCTCCCGCCTCCCCCAACTCTGGCATGTGAATCTAAGGGCAGGGGAGGGGTAGGGGTGCATCAAGGAGGGAGGCTCTCCAGGGTGGTGGGAGGGGGAGAAAGGGAGAGAAAGAGAGAGGGGGGAGGAGAGAGAGAGAAGGGGGAGAGAGAGGGGGGGAGAGAGAGAGGAAGAGAAAGAGAGGGAGAGGGAGAGGGAGAGAGGGAGGAGAGAGAAAGAGAGAGGGAGAGGGAGGGAGAGAGAAAGCGAAAGAGAGGGAGAGAGAGAAAGAGAAAGAGAGGGAGAGGGGAGAGAGAGGGAGGAGAGAGGGAGAGAGAAAGAGAGAAGAGGAAGGGAGAGAGAGAGAAAGAGAAAGAGAGAGGGAGAGAAAGAGATCCACGTTGATGAGGGCTGGTCTCAGCAATGACCGAAAAGAACTGCATGGAGTAGGGAAGTAGTGGACACAGCATTAAGGAACATTCTGACAGAATTCTCTCAGAATGGTTACGTCCTAGGGCTAGGGAGCACAGTGGGAAGGGCGTTGGCCTTGCATGTAGCCGACCTGGGTTCGATCCCCAGCATCCCATAGGGTCCCCCAAACCCTGCCAGGAGTGAATCCTGAGTACAGAGCCAGGAGGAACCACTGAGCATTGCTGGGTATGGCTCCCAAAACCAAAACAAAAAAAAAAAAGAAAGCTAAGCCCGCCAAATGGTCATGTCCTTCATGTCCTGGAAGGGAGTAAGAGATCTTTAGGGGTCCCACCCTCCCCACAAGTTCCATCTACACTGACGGTTCTGAGCGTTGGCACTGCAGTTCCTGGGCATGGAGACCCCAAGGCGGGAAAGTCCCCAGGACACAGACGCGAGGGGGTGGCCCACGGGTGGGAGGTGAGTTCTCTAGGCTCCGAGCCTCAGGGGGTCAAAGGCGAACCCAGAGACAGGAACCCCAAGTTACCCAGAGACAGGACGGTCTCGTAATTCATCCTCATGACTTCGCGGTACAAGGCCCTCTGCGGCTCGGTCAGAACTGCCCACTCTTCGTCGGAAAAGTAGATGGCTACCTCATCGAACAGGGCGGGCACCTGCCGAGGGGGACAGGCTTGGTTCAGTGACCCAGGAGCCCCTGCCCACCCCCACCCCCCACCCTTCAGTTCACAGATCGGGAAATGGTCCATCACCAAACCGGGGGCCTGCACTGCCCATTCCCAGGGGTTCCAATTCCAGGTCTAGTGGCCAACAACATCAGCAATATTTTTTGTTTTGTTTTTTTTTTGTGCGGAGCTACAGTTGGCAGTGCTCAGAGCTGACTCCTGGCTCTGCGCTCAGAGATCACTTCTTGTGGGACTCAGGGACCCTCTGGGATGCCGGGGATCGAACCTGGGTCAGCCGCATGCCAGGCTAACGCCCTCCCCGCTGTGCTATCGCTCCGGCCCCAGCACTTAGATGTTTCTGAGTTGACCCCAACCCTGCCACACCCCACGGTCAGGAGTGTCTCCACAGTCCCTGTTGCCAGCCCCCCTAACTGGCCCCCCGGCCCCCAGAGCTGTGTGATCCCAGGATCCCGGAAGCAGAAGCCCTGACCTAGAGAGCCGCCCTCTGGGAGTGCCACGCCCCAGTTTTATTTACTAGGCCACCCTCAGCAGAGCTAACAAAGGCCTCTCAGGGCCCAGCGACTCCCCTCCCCTCCTCTGCACCCCCCTTCCCCCACCAACGGCGGGTCCCCAGCCTGCCAGTGAGTGCAGAAACAAGCCCCCACCCTGATATCTGATCACCCTAGTTGCCTTCCGCAAGAATCCGCAAGAATCAAGAATCCGGCTAAGTCAGCTGAGAGAGACGCCTCCAGGCCCCACCTCTGCACCTCCCCACCCCCTCCTGGCCTCTGAGCAGTGACCACAGGGAAGCGGTGACCACAGGGGCCCGAGCCACAGCACAGCACAGCACAGCGGGCAGGGTGTTGACTTTGCACGCGGCCGATCCGGGTTCGATCCCCGGAATCATCCCATAGGGTCTCCTGAGCACCACCAGGAGTGATCCCTGAGAGTTCAGCCAGGAGTCAGCCCTGAGCATCGCAGGATGTGGCCCCCTCAAAAAAAAATAATAAACTAGCCCCCCATGACCAGAATCTTGAACCCGAGCTCCTGTTCCTCTAACCCTCACCGCCTGGTCCCCCACCTGGATGGCACCTTCACAAACCAGTGACCCTGTCGGTGCCCACAGAGGGCCTGGCTGAGGCAGGGTGCAGAGGGGACCACTCCTCGGACTCCCCAGCTACACAGTGCTGGGAAACCCGGCTGGCCTGGCCCACAGTCTGTTCTGGAAGCAGCTTCTCCCTCCTCCTCGGTGACTTTTAAAGCCACAGGACGCTTTTCTCAGGAATGCAAAACACATGGGAACAGGGCGGGTTATTTTTACTTCCTTTGCCAGAGGTCAGGGTTCCCTGCAAGTCTGACTGGGCAGCTTCGGGGGTCCCAGGCTCTGCTCCTTGCCTGCAGGACCCCCGTGCCAGACCCTCCACTCACCCAGCCGCCCTGGGAGCAGATGCGGACTTTCTGCGTGTCTGCCGGGGTATCTTGCAGCCCAGTGTCCAGACTCTCAACTGCTTCTTCCTCTTCCTCCTCCTTCAGTGCCCACTGGAAGGGGTGGGCTGCAGGCTCCATCTCTGAGAGCAAGACGCGGGTGGGAAACTGAGGCACCTGGCCGGCCAGTGGCCTGCCAGTGAGCCCGCACCAGAGCAGACAGGCCGAACAGCATGGAAGGTGCTGTCCTTGCCCACGACCAACCCTGGTTCCATCCCCGCTCGAGGCAGGTAGGGTCCCCTGACACCCCCCCAGTGTGGGCCCAAAACTAACACCTTCCCCCCCCAAATAAAAGCAATCCCCTGCTGAACCTACAGGGTGAGGCCAGAGAAAGAAAGGAAAGGGAGAAAGTGGGACATTAACGGGTCCCTAAGAGACCCTGTGCCAGGCTTCAGAACTCCAAAGTGTTCACAGACAGAACGGCCAGGAGGCTGGGGTCCAGCAACGGAGGCCCGGAAAGGCCCAAGGTGGTCCCTGCTGGGGGCTCACCGTCCCCCAAAGCCACCAGCAGCCAGGCCACCTGCTCCGTGGACACCTGGCCCTGGAAGCCACCGCCTGCCTTTTCCAAACTCCAAACGGGCGGGCGCGGACTCCGAAAAGCGAGTCAATTCATGCTCCTTCAAAGGGGGGAGGCTCTCCCCGCCGGGGAGGGGGAAATGGGGGAGGGACGCCCCCGACTCCCCGGGGTGGGGGGGGGAGGGCTGGGCGGCCTTTGGACAGGCAGCGACTGTCCCTCCTGCGGAGCTGGGCGGCCGGCACAAAGGGCGCGCGCGAATTCCCAAGGTGTGTGGCCGGGATGCGGCCGGGGGTCCCCTCCTCGACCCCCCCGGAGGTCCCCCTCTCCGCCTCCCCGAGTTCAAAGCCGGCTGTGCAAACTGGGCAGCGGGGACCCGGGGGATGGTGTGTGTGTGGGGGGGCCTCAACTTGGTCCCCACCCCCCAGGAGGGGCCGGGGCGGCGCCTCCCCCAAGGTGCCCAGGGCCGGCCCGGAGCGTCCCCGCGTCCCCGCGTCCCCGCGTCCCCGCGTCCCCGCCCCGCTGCGCTCCGGCTCTCCACCATCTTGTCCCACCTCCCCGGCCCGGCCCCTCGCGCCCCCCGGACACCCCGATCCCCCCCCCGCGCCCCCCGATCCCCCCCGGAACCCCCGCGCACCTGCCCGCGTCGTCCCCCGCGGGCCGCAACAAAGGAGCCGCGGGCGCCGCGCACTCACCAGCCGGGGGGCGCGGGGCGCGCCCAGGCCCGGACCCCGCTGTCAGCGCCGCGCGGCCCCCCGGGAGCGGCGGGGGGACACGTGGTGGAGGAGGGAGGGTCGGCAGCGGAGGGTGTTGGGAGGCGAGGGCGGAGCGCGGCTGATGTCAGGCTCCCCCCGCCTCCTCCCTGCCCGCCGCCGGGACGCCGCCGGCTCCTTCCTCCCGGGCTGGGCAGCCGCGGGGGGGACCCCGAGCGGGGACCCCCAACCCCCCGGGCGGCGCAGGGCACAGGAGACGCTTGTCCAGATGGCCAGAGACGGGGACGCAGGGAGCGGGGGGCGTCCTGGAACCGTTCCCGGTGCGGGGGGGGGGGGTCGGGGGTGGGGCCCGGGGAGAAACGGTTCTGGGCTTGGGCTTTGGTTAACAAAATACGGATGTGTAGGTCTGGATTACAATGTAAGATGTCATCGTATGTTGTTTAGATGTGGATAGTCACTCCTTTGCAGACCAGAAGCACCCTTTGCCCATCAAATCCAACATCTTTTTTCTTTTTTTTTTTTTTCCTGTTTGGGTCCCACCCGGCGATGCTCAGGGGTTACTGCACTCAGGAATCACTCCTGGCGGTGCTCGGGGGTCCCTATGGGATGCCGGGGATTGAACTCCGGTCGGTAGCATGCAAGGCAAACGCCCACCCGGCTGTGCTAATATTGCTCCTGCCCCTCAAATCCAGCATTTTGCAAACCAAATTCACTGCTTTGCACTCCAACTGGACCCTTTCACAGATCACATTCACCTTTCTGCACTCCAAATTCACCATTTGCGATAGATACTATAAAATTATATATTTCATATAAATTATATATATATACATAAATAATTCTAGGGGCTGGAGTGACAGTACAGCGTTTGTACAGCGATAGTACAGTTGGCCTTGCATATGGCCAACCCGGGTTTGACCCCGAGCATCCCATAGTGTCCCCCGAGCACTGCAAGGAGTGATTCCTGAGCACAGGCCAAGAATAAGACCTGAGCACCGCAGAGTGTGCTGGCCCCGCACGTCCCCGCCCCCCCCAAATTTTTAGGAGCTGGAGAGAACAGAGAGAAGGTAGGGCACTAGCCCTGCACAATGCTCACCCCGGTTTGATCCCTGGCACCCATATGGGCCCCCAAGGCCCCTGCCAGGAGTGATCCCTTAGCAAAGAGCCAGGAGTAAGCCCTGAGCACCATTGGGTGTGCCCTCTTCCCTGCAAAAAAAAAAAAAAGAGCATATATAAATTCACTCCGTTGCAGATCAGAATCACCTTTTGCCAATCAAATCCAACATTTTACAAACCAAATTCACCTCTTTGCACTCCAACTTGACCCTTTCACAGACCACATTCCCTTTTCTGTGCTTCAAATTCAGCATTTGCAAATAAAAATTGCCTTTGTACTAATCAAATTCACTCTTTAGAGGATAGAGTTAACTCTTTGGCAGATCAAATTCACCTTTTTGCCAATCCCATTCACCCTTTTGAAGATCAATTTTACTCTTTTGCTCTCCAAATTTACCCTTTTGTGGACCAAATTCACCATTTTGCACTCCAAATTCACTCTTTTGCAAATGGATTTTACCCTTTTACAGATCAAATTTTCCCAAAAAATATGTTAAGCTTTGTAATACAAATAAATCTGGTATGAAAAAAAAATTAGCTTTTTGGCTCACACTTGCCAATGCTCAGTGATTACTCCTGGCTCTGCACTCAGGAATCACTCCTGGTGGTGCTTGGGGGACCCTATGGGATGCTGGGGATTGAACCCCGGTCAGCCACCTGCTAAGCAAATGCCCTCCTCAATATTATTGGTCCAATCCTGGTATGAAAATATCAAAATTAAACATTTATTTCATTTACATAATGAACAAGATGCCTATTTAACACCAGAAATAGTCATTAGAATTTCATTTTTAACAATTCTTCCATCACTATCACTATCACCCAGTGTTGTTCTTCAATTCGCTCGAGCTGGCCCGGTAGCATCTCCATTCGTCCCTGTCAAGTGCAAGTGTAGCCCGATGACAGATTGGGGGCTCCTTCAGGGTCAGAGGAATGAGGACCATTCATTGTTACTGTGTTTGGCATATCGAGTACGCCACGGGTATCTTGTCAGGCTCTGCCATGCGGGCGGGATACTCTCGGTAACTTGCCGGGCTCTCCGAGACGGATGGAGGCTTTTGGGGCAGCCTCTAATCACCTTTACAGGTGTTCCTAGTCAGGCATACAGGCGGGTATGATACTCTCAGTAGCCTGCCAGGTTCTCTGAGTGAGAACTAGAGAATAAGAGAATAAGAATTTGCGGCCGCGTGCTTCCGGGTTTTATAGTCTCTGGATGGCTGTTGATGGGGTTACACGGCAGTTGGTGGGTGTAACTATCTAGCTACTGGAAGGTGGGGGAGCTGGGTGGAGGAGGCCCAGTCCCGAACTGAGCAGGCTTGGAGATCTCAGCCCGGGGTCCCGCACACCTTGGTTCTTCTGCCGGTTCTTCGTCCAAGCGTGTGGAGAGTGGTCTCAGCATGGCTTTGGCTGGGTCCCGGAGGTCTTCAGCTGTCAGGGCTCGGCTCGGGGCAGAGCTCATGGGAATTACACATATATATTCATAATATAATTTTGACAACCTGAAGGAGTCATAGTTGTGACAGAAAGATTGATAACATCTGCAAAATGTTCATAGTTTGAAGGATCAACCAGAGTATGTCTTGCACAGAACTTAATTTTTTGTTTTTGTTTTTATTTTGGGCCACACTCCTGCCTCTGCACTCTGGGATCACTCCTAGTAAGGGTTCGGGACCCTATGGGATGCCGCGATCCAACCCAGGTCAGCCGTGTGTCAGACAAACTCCCCACCTGGGCTCCAGCCCGGAAATTAATTTTTTTTCATTCCTTCCATGGGCTTTATCACTGGAGAGGTAGGAGAGCAGAGGAGACAGTCTGTCCTCTACACCTCACAGGAGTGTGGAGGGCCCGTTGATCTTTAACTGCTGGGCTAACATTGCAGTGAAGTTAAACATCAGGGACTCGGTATATATTTGCCAACAAATTCTGGTCAGTCATTAGCAGCGGCTGTTTGCAAAGCTGGGCTGGAAGCTTGCAGGCCGCCCCAGGCTTCAGACCCCCCTGGTCCTAGGTCCGGAGGAGCGAAGTTTGCAGGAAGGTCACCTGGGGAGCGGCAGTACCAGGGGTCCACATATGGAACAAAGTTGTATTTTATTTATTTATTATTATTATTATTATTTTGCTTTTGGGTCATACCCAGCGATGCTCAGGGGTTCCTCCTGGCTCTGCACTCAGGAATCACTCCTGGCAGTGCTCGGGGGACCCTATGGGATGCCGGGGATCGAATCTGGGTCGGCCGCGTGCAAGGCAAATACCCTCCCCACTGTGCTATTGCTCCAGCCCCCAAAGTTGTTTTCTAATATTAATCATTATTTTTACACTGAGGCTGGAAAGATGGTTCAGCATGTCAGGGGCTTGCCTGCTGGCACTCAGCTGACCCAATCTCTGGCAACGCATATAGTCCCCTGAGCCTACCAGGAGTGATCCCTGAGCACCAGAAGATGTGGCCCCAAAACAGGAAAAAATAATAATTACTATTTTTTTTTTTGGCTTCAGGGCTATACCCAGTGGGGCTCAGGACTACTCCTGGCTCTGTACTCAGGGATCACAACTGGTGGGACTCAGGGAATCATATGGGATGTGGCCCCACCTAAGGGCGAAATACCATCTAGGGGTGTGTTTCTTCTTTCCTTAGTCCAAAAACCATTTAAACATTCATCTTATTTCTACATCTTAATAATATTAGTCATTTTGTATGGACACAGTAAGACATACATTAAGCTTATAAGGTGGCTCTCATGAGGACATCCCACTATAATCCTCAGACTACAAAGCTCAGGCCTGATTAGTCTTTCCTAACCTTAGCAGGGTCCTAATCCAGTTGTTTCTCTTTGGATCATAACAGAATTCGTCCATGACCATGCCCTTAACTTAT